GCTAACAATAGGACATTTTGGAGAATGTTCACAGGATCGGGGCAGCAGTGGCTCAAGTGGTTAAGACGTTGAACTGCAGACCGGTAGTTCGGCAGTTCGAGACACGAGTGCCGCAAGATGGAGTGAGCTCCCGTCTCTAGTTCCAGCTCCTGCCAACCTAGCAGTTTGAAAGCAAGAAACTGCAAGTAGATAAATAGGTACCACTGCGGTGGGAAGGGAACAGTGTTCCGTGCACCTCGGTGTCTAGTCATGCCGGCCACATGACCACGGAAACATCTTTGGACAGCGCTGGCTCTTCGGCTTGGAAACGGAGATGAGCTGTTCCCTTCCTAGAGTCGGATTCGACTGGCTTTCGAGCAAGGGAAACCTTTACCTTTACCTAATTCATAGGATCACCATAAGTCAGAAGCAACTTGACAGCACTTTACACACACACAGAGATTATAGGTTTATTATAAAAGAGAGGGGGAAAAGAGAAAGGGTGGTTGGGTTCAAAAAGTAGTGGCAAAAGAGCAAAACCAAATACAGGGAAAAGGCGCACACAATAACATAGCACATAGACTTCCAAATACAAAGCAATACACTTTATCTAGGCTGTAGCAGGTTCTCCAGAGCATGTGCAAAGTTTCTTGCAACAACAAAATGTTGGAGGAGTCTTTAACCTCTACTCAACCTCCTGTCATTCACGCCACTCACTAGCTGATCTTTTCCGCTGGAGAGGCCGGGGATTGAACCAAGGAGCTACTGAGTGCCAAGCGGATGCTCTGCCACTGAGTCACAGCCTCTTTCTCACTGAGACTCCAGTACCAATACCAATTTGTATATTACGGTCAAAGACCCAGCAAATAACAACATTTCATAACTAATCTATAATACATCCAAATATAACCAAATATCAAAATATACAGTTCAAAGCAGACACAGCTTAAAACCTGGATATACAAATTCCAATACCAAATCTAAAATTTTAGACCTGAAATTAGTAAAATGATTGGATATTTTTGGTTAGGAGCTTTTCCAGGAGTCTTATAGCTTGAATAGTAAATGTCGACACTTTTAAAGGAATTTCTTGGTCCATATCAGCTAAAGGCTTATCTAAATAAAATCTGGAATCCCTCCCTGGGAACTGGCTACAAATCAGCGATATATAGACCGAATATTCTGATAAAGTTTACCGAATAGTCTGATAAAGTTTACACTTGAGTAGTACATGTTAAGCAGCGCAGGGATTACATAGCTGGATCACATGCTTATAGTGACAGGCAACACGTACCAGACAGTGCAGTACAGACCACAGACCCTGTCCCTTTATCAGAACACCTTCCTGAGAAACATTTCATAATGTTGGATCAGGCCAATGGCCCATCCAGTCCAGCACTCTGTGTCACACAGTGGCCCAAAATACCAGGTGCCATCAGGAGGTCCAGCAGTGGGGCCAGGACACTAGGAGCCCTCCCACTGTTGTGCCCCCCCCCCCAAGCACCAAGAATACAGCGCATCCCTCGCCCCAGCCTGAGAGTTCCTATAAGGACATAAGAGAAGCCAATGTTGGATCAGGCCAATGGCCCATCCAGTCCAACACTGGCCGAAAACACCAAGTGCCATCAGGAGGTCCAGCTGTGGGGCCAGGACACTAGAAGCCCTCCCACTGTTGCCCCCCCTCCAAGCACCAAGAAGAAAGAGCATCCCTTGCCCCAGACATAAGAACATACAATGGCGCATCCACTCCACCACTCTGTGTCACACAGTGGCCAAAAATACCAGGTGCCATCAGGAGGTCCAGCAGTGGGGCCAGGACACTCTTGCCCCACCAAGCCCCAAGAATACAGAGCATCCCTTGCCCCAGCCTGAGAGTTCTTATTTATACCTTGTGGCCAATAGCCCCGATGGACCTCTGCTCCATATAAGAACATAAGAGAAGCCAATGTAGGATCCGGCCAATGGCCCATTCAGTCCAACACTCTTGTCACACAGCGGCCAAAAATACCAGGGGCCATCAGGAGGTCCAGCAGTGGGGCCAGGACACTAGGAGCCCTCCCACTGTTGCCCCCCCAGCACCAAGAATACAGACCATCACCTGCCCCAGCCTGAGAGTTCCTATAAGAACATAAGAGAAGCCAATGTTGGATCAGGCCAATGGCCCATCCAGTCCAACACTCTGTCACACAGTGGCCCAAAATACCAGGTGCCATCAGGAGGTCCATCAATGAGGCCAGGACCCCAGAAGCCCTCCCACTTTTCCCCCCTCCCCCCCAGGCACTAAGAATGCAGTGCATCCCTGTAAAGGGATATTTTACAATATCCCTGTAAAGTTAGGCTGGTATTATTTCCATACTGCAGATGGGAAGCTGAGATGCTTTCTTAAAGAAAATTAGTGATGCCCAGGATGTAGGAGGAATTTGGACTTTGGGCTGCTGTTCCCAGCAAGAACTGAAAGGTCCAGATATATTCAGCCCAGCAAGGATGCTATGGGTGGGGGAAGCAGAGGGGAGGCAATGACAGTTCTCCAAAGTTTGGGACTGGTTTGGGGAAAGAGACAGAATGCTTTTCATCCTGTTTCCAAGAACTGAGAAGAAGAAACTCTTTTCTGGCTCGTCACTTCCCTGCCCAGTCAAAGGTTTTCAAAATCTGCTGCTGCTGCAAGTTCTGCTTCCTTCCATGGGAAGGAGGTGTCTTGTGATACTCAAACATTCTTAATACGCCATCTCAAGTAATTAATGAAGGATGACTAGCACTTTATGATTTTATGATTCATATGCATTTGAATTGTTTTAAAATGATTTTATGTTGTTTTATTGGTATTTTTGTACCAACTGTGTAAGCCGCCTTGAGCCTGCTTGCGGGGAGGGCAGGGTACAAATTGAATAAATATTGATAAGCAGTAGGACAGTAAGGATCCATAATTGCATGAGTAAGGATTAGTTTTGTATTAAATGATTAGAGGTTATAAGAGATCTGAATATGAGAATCCATAGATATGAAATTATTACAATTTAAACATGATTAATTAACTGGAATGTTTTATGAAAATATAAAGTCATAAGATTGTATAAATCTTTTAAAGAAGTTATAGAATGCTTTTATGCTGTAAAGGCAATACTTTGGCTTTGTGCAGATATCAAGAAATGCATGGACTTAAGCGATCAGTTAATACAAAGAATTACCTGATTGTATAAATAGAATTATTAATGTCATGTAATAGTGTCTGTAGAAGTAATTGCGAGCACTATTTTCTTTTTTTTCTTTGTACCCCTTTCCTACTACCTATTTCCCTACCCTCTTCCCTTTATAATATTCAATTAAAAATCTAAAAATTAAAAAAGGAAGGGTGGAGTTTGAAGGGGGGGAAGAGCTCTCAGCAAAGTAGAATGCCCTAGACCAGGGGTGTCAAACATGCGGCCCGGGGGCCAGATCAGGCCCCGGAGGGCTTCTATGAGGCCCGCAGTGGAACTGGCTGTCTTCTTCTGCTTCTGCTTCCAGTTCTGCCGCTCCTGCGTCATGGTAGATATGCAGCTTACAGATACACACCTGAACAGCAGACTCAAGATTGCAACAGCACAGACATTCTGATGCAACAATTCAGAACAAGAGGTGTCAGTTATCAGACACCATTAAATAAACAAAATATTGCAAGAGTGCTACTGTGTTAAGCATGTTTTTATTTTAAGTTTTAAAAAATGTGTTTGTGTCCTTTATAAAGTTTGTATCTCTGCTACCTGGCATGACATCTTATGACACACAGGGCCTGTCCCAACAAGGTCTCATTTATGCCAGATCCGGCCCTCAGAACAGATGAGTTTGACACCCCTGGACTAGAGCCCACCCTCCAAAGCAGCCATTTTCTCCAAGGGAGCTGATCTCTGTCATTCCGGGGTCTTTTTGTAGCGGGAACTCCTTTGCATATCAGGCGACACACCCCTATGTAGCCAATCCTCCAAGAACTTGCAGAGCTCTTCTTACAGGAGCGACTGTAAACTCTTAGAGGACTGGCTACATTAGGGGTGTGTTGCCTAATATGCAAAGGAGTTCCAGCTACAAAAAGAGCCCGGTTAATGCTTAAGATTGACCAATAATCGATATTACAGCAAATAAAGTTAAAGGTTCCCTTGCTCAAAAGCCTCGACTCTAGGGTTGCGGTGCTCATCTCCGTTTCAAAGCCGAAGAGTCAGCGCTGTCCGAAGACGTTTCCGTGGTCATGCGGCCGGCATGACTAAACACCAAGGCGCACCGAACGCTGTTATTACAGCTAATAGGCATGATTATTACCCATAAAACCCGAAGTTATCTCCTCAAAACTCTGTGTTGTGGGAAGCCCCGCCCAGACACTGACGCACTTCCCCGCTTTCTCTTTCCTCCCCAGCCCGCCCGTTTCTCTGTCTCCGCCTTCTTCGCCCCTCCCCTTCCTCGCTCCCTCTCGCCCCCCTCCCTTTCGTCATTCTCCGGACTCCGCCGCTACTGCCGCTCTATGCTTCACCCTCTCTGTGGTAAACCCCGGTTCTGAGGAGGAAAAAAAACCCCTGACTAAATTCACAAAACGGGAACGGGAGGCCGGGTCAACCATGTTGCCTTTCCCTCGGCAACTCTATGGCCAAACGTTCGCTGTCCTTGAGGGCGAGGGGAGGGGGAAAGACCGACCGGCTGAAAGGGAAACCGGAAGTCCCGTCTGCCCCGTGCGCTTCGCTTTGGTCTGTCTTCCGTCTCGCGGGTGGCGCCCTCGCGGTTTTGGGGCTGCGCCTGCGGAGAGAAGCGTGCGCTTGGGGGAGGCGGGGAGGCCGGAGCCGGCATGGAGGTCCCTGCAGGGGTGGCGCCCATCAGAGCCCCGTGAGTAAGGGAACCCCCCCCCCTCCGCCAGCCCAGTCTCTGCGAGGGGGCCCAGTCCCCTTCCGCGCTCAATCCCTACCCACCCGATGGCTCCTTCTGATCAGCCCCCTTCCAGGGAGCTCTCCCTCCCGGCGCATTTCTTCTCCCCCATAGCAAAAAACCAGGCACCCATCGTCCCCTTTTAGTGAAAAGGTTCCCACCCTTCTCTGGACCTGAGCTGAAACTTTTAGAAGAAGAGATTGGATTTATACCCCAGGGCCCTTCACTACCCGAAGGCGTCTCAGAGCGGCTTACAAACTCCTTTCACTTCCCCTCCCCACAACAGACACCTGGGAGGGAGGTGGGGCTGAGAGAGCTCTTGACAGAAACTGCTCTTTTTCAAGGACAGC